AGTACTTTTCTTCCACACATCCTGCTCATTTCCTCCTTCTGGTTCCTCATGGTCCGCGTCATTACGCCCGCGGGTAAAATACTTTTCCCTCTTCCGTTTCCACATTCGAAATTTGGGGTTAAGATACCAGTGTATGCGGCTTCGCAGTTTTTAATCTGCATACGAAGCTTGCCCGCTGTCTTCCGGAGACCCAAGAGTTATGAGCCGCTAATTCAGCAGCAGTGTGAAGGGAGTGTAAGGCTCCACAGGCGCTAGAAAGGTTTGTGGGTTTCAATCCTAACAGGGCACTGCTGTTGAAACTCCGTATGAGGTACGTCACCCAGATTGTGGCGGTAAGGTGTCCCACTGTGGAAACGCATGCAGTTACAAGTTGTGTACAGGAACGTGTCTTTGTCCTATAAATCACAAAAAAGCAGCACCCAAGTAACACCAGTCTGATAAGACTTTTATAAAACAAGAATACTTTATTAGCCATATACAGTGTCTTGTATTGGGAATTTGTCTTTTTGCAGACCCCAGCTTGCTCTCCATGAGACACCCAGACAGGGAGAGAAGCTTGGGGTCAGACATTTATACAGCCCCCCCCTGGGGCAGCTGGGGTTAAGGGCTTTGCTCAGGGGCCCAAGGGAGTAGGATTCCTCTGCTAGCCACAGGATTTTAACCGGCAACCTTCCAGCCTCAGGCGCAGATCCTTGGCCACAGAGCCACCGATCTGCCCATGATTGGTTTCATAACCCATCATAAGCCCTATTTTTAGATCGGTTTGCCTAAATTAACACTGGGCAGCTCAAGAGAATTTCTAATCAAGCTGCATGGTGAAAACAGCCAATTACCGCTTCTAAACTTGAGTGAATAACAGGATGTTATATCAAATACGGAAGTGCCATATTGGATATGGAGTCTACAGTCTTGTTTTTGCTGGTGTTCTGGGAAGTCTGAAACTGAAGGGTGATTTATGAAGTATTGCATATGCACACAGGCTTGGTGCAGCTGAACATCAGGTTTTTATCTTCAATATACAGACTGCAGGAACCTAGAGCCTGATTTCCCTGCCTCCAGCTCACAGCAGGTGGTAAAAACTGGGTCAATCTGTTCTGTAGGCAGTGAGGTATTAATGACAGAATGTAGAGCTCAGCAGTAATTATATTCATTCTGAAGGCCACCCCCCAGGCAACACAGAAGCTAGTGAGCTATTTTTTGTTTTGCAAACATCACGCTTTTAAACAAAATACTTGGTTTCGGTGAACACCTGCCTTTTCAAATGGTTA